AAATTGCAAAACGTATACTGCGACGACCCTGTCTGTGTGTATACGTTTTTGTGCATGTGAGTGTGTGTTCGTTTGTCTAGGTATTTCAACTTGACAACCAAGCAAGCTCCGGCGTCAGAATTTTGCCAGTGGGTTCTCAGGCCAAGTGCCATCCCAGGACTACGGTATTAACCCTCATGCAAGTCTGGTAGGAGAATCGGTAACTCGTTTTGGTGGGAAAATCGGTAACTCGTGGACGAGAAAAGCAAAGCTAGAAAGCTGAGATTTTGAGGTTGTGCCTCCCTTCTACAAAGAATTCAAAGATTTCAAACTCAGCCCCCATGGTGCACGTTATTCCTGCGTACGGCCCCGTGAGGCTTCCTGGCGAAAAAACCTCTAACTTGGGAACCAAGAAAGCTGGGAGATTGAAATTTTGAGGAGATGTTCCCAGCACATGTACAACTTAAAGTTATCAAATTCAGCCCCAGGAATGCGCAGTTCCCACGCACAGCCCCGTGAAATTTCTTAGCGAAAAAGTGGCTAACTCGGGAATCAGAAAACCTTGAAAGCTGAGATTTTAGGAGAATATTCTTTATTCAAGTACAACTTTAAAGTTTCATATTTAGTCTCCGGATACGCATGGTTATCGTGTACGTGCTCTCAAATTTTTGGCGAAGAAATTATTTTACTAACTACTGGGTCATTTTCAGCCTGGCCTAAAAAACTTAGCAGACTTGCCGGTGCTATCATGCGTTCTTGCACTAAACTCGCAGATCGCTAATAGGAGGAATGATCCCTGCACTACAGCCTAACACTTGGGCTCATACTGACAGCGCTCTGGCCTCCTCCGGCACACAATTTGAAATGAAGGTATTGCATTATTAGGCCAAATGGGCCTTCAGGTACATGGTTATCAGTTTTTTCCACGAAGCCCGGTCGTTTTTCTCGCAGATACTCGCTCTTCGAAATGAAGCAAATTTCCAGTTCACTAAAAAACTGGAAACGTTGCTACAGCAGTCATTTGCCAGAAAACGCAAGTATGCAAATGATCTGAATGTTCGTTTACATATTTGGATGAGGGCGATCGTTCGCTGCAGAACACACTCGTTTCTGATTTTTCAGTAAAGTTGAGTATTTCTTGTAACTGCCTACAGGAAATTTCACTTCCAAGCAGAATTAAGACAGCACTTGAAATTCGAATATCCCAACGAAGTTTTAGCCTCGCACTTTGTCCAGTAAGCGAAATACCCACTTCGCTACAAATGTCTTTGAAGCGCTCCAAGTCGCGTCGCAAATGCAAATCGCTGCTCATTTTAGGTATACGATTTCCCATATGGCGACAGACATGAAGAAAACATTTTAGCCACTGTTTTCCAGCAAGTGTTCGAGTTAGCACAGTACCAATTTGCAAACGCTGAGTGATCAAGTGTGCGCGACAGCTAGGTTTGAAACTCGCAAATGCACAACCTTGCAAATGCACAAAGAATATTCCTGCAAAGTTCCAGTTTTGCATGTTACCTGGTTCGCGAGATAGTTTTCCGTTAAAAAAAATTTGCTTGTTTTTCTTGAGGGTCCGCACGCGGGGCCTGAGGCGCGTATGAACAAGGTTTTAAAACGGGAGGATAACACGCAGGGTAGAAACATATACCCAAAATTTCAGTCGACTAGTTTTCCTGGTTGCTGTGATGAAAGTAGGTGACAAAGTTCACTCGCTTCCGATCACTCAGACGACTCTCGGCAATATGTGTTTTTGCCGGCTGTAGCAGCGCTATAGGGCTGCACAGCAAAAACCCATAAAAAACGACCGCTAAACGGAAATTGTTAATTTTCGTTTATGCAAAATTTGCAGTGACAACGGCATTAAGCTCGCAAGGTAAGTTTGTAGAAACAGCCATTCTTGCACTTACCTGATTACTTCAAGTCTGGTGCAAAAACGCATGATTGCACCAGCTCGCCTGGTGCGTTCCAGTCTGGGTAACATTATCACACGTGCAAGTTTGGGTCCCATAAACAGGCGGCTCAAGAAAACCATGTAAATTTTTGACGGATGAATGATTTCGAAAACCAGACAAGGTAGCTGAAACTCTAGGAGGATGTTCCTCATCCATGAGCAACTTAAAGATTTCAAATTCTGGGCCCGCATAAGCTCGGTTTTCATGTGCAGACGCGTGAAAATTTTGGCAAGAAAATTGCTCACTTTCAGTGAAAGACATTGAACAGAAATTTTCCACTTTTCTTTAAGTAATAATTGGCCAACGCACGGGCTGCCCGTGCGAAGATGCGTTTTTTGCAGAGTTCCCCGCA